ATAAAAGTGGAACTTGACTTAAAAGCCAAGCAAAGAAAATGGCCAAAGCCAATAATAATTTTAACATCAAAAGAGGTCATAGAAAATGTGGACAGAAATCCTTGTAAAGGAAGAGCAAATTAACAAATTACCTGACAGTTGACGCAAACATGCTTAAAAAGTAGAGAGAGGCTAAGATACTACATTTTGCTTTTTTGCACAAATTGCATTAATTGAATGATGTAGGCATACATTTTTTCTTTCAGTAAAAAGCCAAAGAAAATAACTTGACAACTGAGTCCATAATAAGCCTGCAATAATAATACTGTTATAGTGTCACAGCAGCCTGATAGCACCGCTGACGTGGACCCAGGGAGAGGGAAAGTGGGTGTGCCAGTTCAGCCATGATGGTCCTGGAAGCAGTTAAAACTTTATAAGGTAAAGCACAAACGAGAACAATGCCTGATCCAACTGAAAACACTGTAGAATCTTGCTGCTGCTCCTCAACGACAAGGGAGCCGGCAGAATCCCCTAAGTGAATTCTGACCTTGTATTCTCTGAAGGACACTCTTTCTTCTAGATCTTATTTCTTCAAAATATACATCAGGCATTAGGTAATCTCTTATCGACACATTTTGTTTTCTTCAGAGGGAACAGCAGACTTCTCTTAGTCTACTTACTAAATACCAGCTGTCAAGGGCCTGTTTAAAAATGAAAGGACTTATCACCTTGTGTAAATGACAAGATTAATAATGTCTTGGGTTTCTGAGAACTTTATTCCACTTGTAGACCATGTTAGGGCAGGCCAAGAGCTTGAATGAAATTGCTTTCCTTTCTGTGATGCACACCTATAAAATGTTACCCCAAATCACATGCCCGGATCTTTCTCATTATCATGAGTGGAAAGGTAGGTCTTGTGTAAGTCGAAAAAGTTCACTTACACGAATTGGGCCATAGTGACCTGTCTGATTACAACCAAAATGGTTTCACCATGAAGAAGTATTAGAGGAAAACTTGTGTCCAGAGAGCTATTTCGTAAGTACACTAAACTTGTGAACATATCCTAGATAAGAACTGGCCTGATGTGAGGTACCTAGGAGTCTGTGGGTCCACTTGCCTTTGATCTAGGTGAAGGGTATAGCAATGTGGAGGTCTGAGGAAACTCATCAAAGGACGGAGGGAAAGGCGGGAGCAGGGTGAGAGCAAATCTAATGCAACATGCTCCATCCACCCATCAAAATGGGTGTAAAAGTAAGATATCTTACAAGACAACAAAGAAAAGGACATCAAAATATCCAGATTTAAAAACAAACACTCAGTAAATCATCTAGGTGTTCGGCCCACTTGACGTGAAACACATGGGTGCTTCCAGATGTAATGAAATCTCTGAACAATTAATAAACCATTTTCATGCTTCCTTTACATATTTGGTCCTCTTGAGGACCTGTTCTTGAAAGAACTTTCATTATATCCAATTCTCTGCTTTTGCTTCTGCCCTGATCTACCTCCCAGTGCCAGTTCTGGATCCTCAACCAGGGATAATTCAGACCATTAAAATGTAAAGATCTTGACGCATTGTCTGTCTCAGTAAAAATTTCCAGCTAAAGGCTGTGCCGCAGCAGTATAGCTGTGAAACACTGTACAAAAACTTTAAGGAATAAGGGGAAAAATAATTAGGACTTCAAGGATAAAGAGCCTTGGGTGTTTTTAGTGGATCTACTATTTTATGACTGGAGTGTGACTTAATTTACTAGTGTCTTTGGTGCGGCCTTCTTTTACAAAGATGAATTACTGCAGTTAATATAATATTTTCAGGGGGGGATAAGGATATCAGTCAGAAGCTGCAGCTGCTTAGAAATTATGGTTTAGCAAGTATGCCAGTGTTTTCAGAATTTCTATCTCCAAAAACATCACTGCAATAAGTTTGAAAACATGAAATGAAAAAGACATCTAAAAACAATAAACTCGAGTCTTCTAGGCAGCACTGTCAAGAAAAAAGCTGCCACAAAGCTCACTCTGGCCTGAAAAAAAGAAATCTGCAATAAAATAACTTGCAGAAATCTATTGGAAGATTTAAACTCTGAAAAATCCCCTCAGATAAAATGCTTGTAGAGAGGTATTAGGAAAATGTTCATTGAATAGCCTTTGCCTTTATGATACAAAACAGATTGCACGCTTTATCAGCTTTACCTGAAAATCTAAACCTAGGCTGTTTCTAAGTACCTCATCACCCCAAACAAATCAAATACAAGTTTTACCCAAGACAACGTGTTTTGACTGTCCCACCATGATCAAACTGTATTATCACCTTTAGCAGACACATTAATTCTCTTTTGTAGAACTCCTTCACATCATTATAAAACTGATCCAAATTGACTAAACTTGATCTTTAATATTAGAACTTTAAAAAATACGTATCTTTGCAAAAGTAAACTATAATTTATACCCTCCTTTTTGTTTTAGGTCATCTTTTCCCTTCTTTGTTGGATGCCCTAATTATTACAATGACTAGCTTGCAGTTGAAAGATTCCCCTGAAATTCTTCATTTTTAAAGCCCAGGACTTATTTAAAATTCATCTTATAAACTTGAGCTCTATCTAAGAATCAGAGCAAAGAGGAACACTTTTTACAGTTTTTTGTCACGTGCTTAATTTGCTTTTGTGTGTGCAGATGACTTGATGTTGTTAATGTTTAATAATTACTCCTGATCCAGGGTGTCTCTTTATATCTGGATATTAAATAACATGTCACACAGTGGGAGCGTTCATTATGAGATGAGTTGTGCTTATTCATCATTTGGCAGCTCCTATATTCCTCACAGAAAACAGAGTGAAAAAACAGACCTAGAGAATCTCTTTAGTCAGCTCTTTTATCATTGCACCTAGTCCAACATTCACATTTCAAAGCTGCCTGGAATTGCTAGTCTTAATTGGCTTTTAGAAAAGATGCATACCTACTTATAGATGAGTATGTTTATAATATATGCATACACTATTTTGATGTCTGCTCTTGTTTGTCTTGTCAACTGGGTTAAGTGTGATTGTATGCATATATGTCTATCACACAAATCTGACTTTTACCTCTGACTTTCCTCTCGTTGTTTGTGGGTGAACTTACTTGACCATAGAATGTCAATTTCACAACTATGTTATTTGATATGTACTCTCTTACCATCTTTGATTTCTGCCAGCATAATATATAAGTTTAAAATGAGAACTTACAGAAATAATAGTGTGTCTAATATTGGCCTTTTATGGTTTTCCTGATTCTTCGGTTAAAATATGCAAACATGCTCTTCATTAAGATACAAAACCATCATATTTTCTTTCGAAAGCAATGCATTTTACAATGTGTACCTCAAAAGTAACCATGTGAAAATTATAAATGCCTACTCTAATAAGCAATCTAATTCATACTTAAGAACAGCAAAATAGTTTCCTTTTTTAATGAGATCACAGTTCCCAAGGACAAGAATATATTTATTAAAAAATATTAGACCCATAACTATTAAATGAAAAAATGTATTGGCCATAAGTCTCATTCTTCAACCATCTTTTCACTGATCCTACAACAGTTTTATCTGTCTAAGGAAATAGCTCCTGTTGTCAGTAAATATGGATAGCAAATAATTACTATGATATAATTATATTATTTCATCTTACAGCTGCCTTTTGAGGTCTTCCAGTTCCTTTTTTAGGAAGCATCACACGCACAATTCACTCATTTACAACACCTATGTAATTCCCACACCTGCATATAGTCAGTGCTCAGAAATGTTTGTTGTTGATGGTGACAGTAACTCATATGACGGACTTGGGATATTTTCTGCTTACGATCAATAGCTAATTTAATAATGTTTTCCTTTGTCAATAATGTCTCTTGTTTTCTTACAACAAAGGGAAAAAAACAGTTGATTGGTTTATTATTTTTGATATATGTTGAAGATTTTAAAATGATTCCCATTTAAACCTAATTTTATAATTTACTACCTCTTATACAGTTTAGTCAGTAAAAATTATCTAGTAGCTGGTAAAATGCCAAAGAATAATCTCATAACAATGACTGAAACAGAGTCTTAGACCATATGACGCTAGCATTACTTACCAGCTTTCAAATGGAAACATCTAACTTAAACTTTTCTTTTTCTTGGTGGTGATTTTCATAGTAGATTTGCCAAGCAACCATTTTAATATGGTCTTCGAAACATATTTGATTTACATAATCATCGGTTTAAAAGAAATAAATTATGATAATATAACTATATTCTAACTCAGTGATGTTTATAAAACAAAAATTAGCAGGTTGAAGTTCTTGTTGTTTTAAGTATTGTCATACTAAGTTGCAAGATTCATAACCTCACTTTACTGGGTGCAAAATATGTTTCTTGATATTTTCACGATCTTGCTTCATAGTTATTGTTATTAAAGTTAACCTCACTGCATGAGCCTCCGTAAAGCAATTTCCCGCAGTGATACTTTTAAACATTTCACATAAACAACAACAAAAAATGTTATTTGATTAATCTAAAAGGGTTTCTCGTTTATAATTAGGCAAATCAAACGCATAATCAGACAAGTTCACACGTAGATCATACATATACCTCTACCTATTATTTAAAATAAAATCTATATAATATTTCAAGTGTATCACTTCCAATTTCTTCAGAAATTCAATGTTCTTGATTAGTTCAGTACTTTCTATGAATGTCTCCTTATTATGATAGCAAAGGAAAAAAAAGGTAAAGAACAGCTACTAATAAGTAGTATTCAGTTTTTAAATCATTCAGTCATTCCCAGAAAACTAGAGCATTTATGAAGTTTACTAGCACAAAATGAAAAAACTACCCAAAAAAGAAATACTGAAAATGACTTTATTCTGCATCTTATATTTGGGCATTACCTTTCACCATATCGACAAACAGGCCACAAGGGTCTACTGAAGCTCACTGTTATTTTTATTCCTCAGGCTTCACTGATACTTTAGTGCTCTCCAGGAAAGACAAGAAAATCTTTACAACATACCTGATCATTTATCTGGCATGCAACGAGGTTGTGCTGATCATAACAGCCAGCGAACCTGATGTACTTGAGCCAGCTTCCTACATCTGGTTGACTAGCATCTATGCAGAACTTCACATTGCAAAACTCATCTAAGATCTAGAAGGAAGAAGACGAGAACAATCAATTTCCATTATCAGTTCATTCATTAGAATGGTTAATTGCTTGAAAATATTTTATTCAAATGTATGTTTCCTCCTTTGAATCCTTAAGAGAAAAAAAGTCAGACAGCATGCATATTAATAGAGAAGGAATAATAATGTTATCTTGGAAGTGGCAATGTACTGCCTTTAAAGGAACAAAGCAATTGTAAATTATTACAAAAAATGATTAATTGGTTTTAAAAATGCTCGATTCCTTGTTATGAATGAATGAGTGCTATTGCCTTAATTTTATCCAATGTGATTTTTATGAAAGATAATATTGAACAGCATATATTAACATAATATTTCTAAACTATACCAGTCAATATTTTAGGTTCAGATAATCTTCCCTTGTAAGTGTATACTTTCACATTTTTTGCACTTTAAATCAGTGCAATTTAAAAACTTTAATCTAAATATTGTCAAATTCCTTTTCAGTTTGCATTGCACAACCGTGAAACAAATCACACCCATAATTGAAGAAGATAATAAGATTTGTGTCACTGATGCTTCCGACCAAACTAAAGAAAAACAAATGAAAATAAATAATTGGTAAACACTTGTGCAAAATATGTCTACCTAAAGTTTTAGGTAACACATGCCAATGCACATTTCAATTTTATGTTTCATAAGTAAAATACCAAAACTGGCTTGTGAACAAGTAAAAAATATGTAAGAATATTGACATAAATTGCCATCGTTATATATGGTTGTGCATGTTAGTGTTGTTATTTTTCATGAGATTTTATGTTTGGCCTATGCTAAATATTAATCACTACTCAGGATACCTATTAAACAAAAATTAAGATGGGAAGTGTCCATTTTTAAGGTCTTGTCTACTGAAAGGAGGCTATTCGGATTCAATAGTAGCAATAATGTTTTATACATCAATATTAAAAGCTGCATAGTTGTTGACCTGATGGTAAATGACTAGAAAGTCTGGTAATGTTAATGTCAATCAGTTAGCGCAAACTTGAGGAAGTTTCCTATCAAAGACTAAACAATATAGTCTAGAACATTAATTGATGAATTAAATAACCCCCTCCCCGCCCCCCTCCCAGAACTCTGCTGTATCTATACCTATAAAAGTTAAAACTAAACACTCGGGTGCATAGACCAAAAGCAATTTTGCACAGAATTCAGGTAATCACCCAGTTGCAGATTCAAGTCATTAACTCACCACAAACTTCCAGAAGAAGCCCAGGACTCTGAGGGCTCTAGTCAAGAGGCATTATGAATAAGCCTTTGGCCATGAGGCAATTAAAGGGCAATAAGTAGTCCCACAATTTTAAAAAGAAAAATTGAAACATAAGATAGGAATAATAATTGCCACACACACACACACACACACACACACACACACACACACACACACACACAAATCAAGTCTTTTTCAAGGAGGCCTCTTCGCACCACCACCAACAAAAAGTCTATATTAAATACCCTCTCTAGTGAGAAGAACAGGTTTTAACAATTTCTCATTTATAAAATTACAAACTTTAAGTTGTTTTCTTCAACTTTCAATGCTGAGCAGCTTAAATGGCAACTGGAGATTACCGCCCTCCTCACATGTCTGGAAACATAAATAACATCTGCAATACACACTTTAAAACAGTAAAAGGTTGGGATTTTTGTTTTATTTTTTGGTTTGTTTGATTTCTGGTTGATATTTGCTGTTTGTTTCCTTGACTAGCCTCCCTCCCCCCCGAAAAAAGTAGTTCTACTAACACACTAGAGAAATATTTAATGAAGGAAACGGGGTGAAGGCAGTGAAATGCAACACCAATTCCATTTCATATTTGCAGAAAGACGTGGGAAACTTATTAATTTCAAAGTCAAAAATCATTTATCCCCTTAGCTTTCTAGCATTCCCTTTTTGCGAGGGTAAGTACTGCATATGCACAGAAAAATTCTAGGTGTAATTTTACTCCGTGTTAACATTATTGCCATTGCCACTGTCAACAGTGAAATTAATTTAAAAACAGGTTCATTTCCAAAGAATGTCTTTTTACATACATGTAACATGATTATTCAAATATTTCACCAACGTATTAACTTTCTTACTCTCCGTATTCTTGCCCCAAGACAAAAGCTTAACTTTCTCCAGAAACCTTTCCCCCCCGGGTGAATTATTCGCTTCTGATTTGCTAACACAACTGCATTTGTCTCCCAAATGTCTTAATCGTCTCGGAAATCTCGAATAAAATAAAGTAACAACACATCTTCTGTCATTTCATCGAACACACTCCTGTGTTTTTAAAAGCTGTCAAGTTCCAAAGATAGTTAAAAAAAAAAAAAAATTCCCTTTAGGTGGACTTTAGAGAAAGGCCCTTTCAAAAATCCAACAGCGAAAGGAAAAAAAAAAAAAAAAAAATCCCCACAATCTAGCCAAAGGGTCCGAATGTGACTTTCTCGCGAAGCAGCACACGATGTTGGACAGCAAAGCTGTTACTTGGCAAGGTGGAACTCGGCCGAAAGCGGCTCCAAAGTCGCGTGGCCGGTGCCAGGAATTCAGATTTTGGCAACCCCACCTTCTGAGTCCCTGATACCGACGGACAGACACACGGAGGGAGGGGAAGGAGGAGTAGAGCGCGAGGAAAGGAGGCCGACAGCCGGGAGAGAGACCCACCGAAGGCCGGACGACCCACCCCGGAGACGCGTCCAGACCACACCGTTGCACAGGAGGAACAAGGAAATCGCCAGTCCCGGCAACGTAGATAAGCACAGGGCTCCGCGAGACTGCGGGCAAGTAGGAAAAGAAGGGCTTGGGGGGGGGGGCGGGGG